TGCTTTCTTATCTACAGTATATTGTCAGTATGTTACAAACTCTTGCTAGCTACATATTTTGGCAAGGAATGTACTGTTTTGTAACATATTGACAGATGAGAAATGGTTATGTTGCTGGAGTTTTTAAGTTCCTATTTACTGTATATTTTTAATACTTTCTCTCGCTCTGTGATTCTGGTTATTTGAATGCATTATAGCAGCCGTGAAACTGAGCTGCGGTACTTCATGAAGGAACCAGAGATTTCATTATGTCTTAGATTAGATTGACCTATTCTTGAGCTTTTGGCTAACTGGCTTTGGACATTTCAACAAAAAAGTGTGACCACAGCGTGACATGGTATTGGTATCGTCAGGCTTAGTTTATCGTATTGCATAATTTTTGCAGTAACTACATTTGTACCAAAAGTGTTTAATATTAACCCTATTTTTAACAGGAATCAAAAGGTGACTATTTCAAAAATGAATTTATGTTATTCCATAGGTTGTTCTTTAATGGGTAAGACATCTAAACTAGGCACATTTTTGGTCAATTAGGTCACATTTTGTTAGATGTCTGGGTCAATCTTCCCTTGTTACCCCTGCATTTCAGTGACTATACATCGGATCTGCCTGACACTAAAATACAAAAAAGTAGCCCACCTTTAAAACTTGGATTATATTTTGACCTGCAAATCAAAGCCATGCAAAAGGATATTTCTCTATGTAAGTGAAGTGTAACCTGAATGGCTAGTTACCTTTCCGTACAATATCTTATTGCTCATAAAATAGAAAGGACAAATAGGTATTTGTTGAACCCCAAACCTGACTAACGGGAGTGTTTTAGAAACTCAGGATCAGATCCAAAATTAAACACAGCCCTACATATTACCATGAATGTTTCCCATGAAGCACAGCTGTCTGTGCTTTTCTTTAAGCAGCATTAACTGCTGTGATATGTCTTTATTATATTCATATGCATTGAAATGGCACAGAAATGCACTAAAACGGTTGTACAAAAGCCACAATTGCCTTAAGGACATTGTTTACTGTGATTACGCATTCTTTAGAGCACTGGGCAGTGCCTCAAATCACAGCATCGCCGTACCTATAATCACTGAAAATAAATGTTGACTCCAGCATTATTGCTAAACTCTATATGTGTAGGTTGTTGGGAATCTATAAAGGGCATGATGGCATTTTCTGAAAGTGGCTGGTTGCTGAAGAGGCAGAAACATGGTAGTCTGAGCATACTCTTCCTCTCAGAAGCTCTCACTGGAGTTGATGGCTGGTTGCTGCTGCAGGCCACAGCAGACACATAGTACACAGCACAGATGGTGAAAATAGGCACCAATGGCTGCAGTCGAAACAGTGAATGTGTCATAATGACATTTGGGCCATAAGTTGTGATTTTTTTCCAGGCATCATGCTGTCACTCCACATAAAACACAGTTAGTGTTAAAGTGGGTCCATACAGGCGGACACAAAGCAGATACAGCCGCTTCATACATCAGCACGTTAATATTTGTTGATTTAGAAATGCAGACTGGTGAATGACACAGAGCAGGATTCTCAGAATAATCCCCTTTCTGGTGCACAAAGGCATAACTTAAGCTGCTACAGTGAATACTAAGTCTCTCCAGCCTGGCATGCGTTGGACTCTTTCACACCCGAGCAGTTCAACTCGCTCACATCGGCCTGTCTCTTGACTCGACACAAACACATGTTTCGTGGAGGTAGATACAGAGTGCTATCTATCAAAATGGAGCTGGTTGGAGTCAGTCTTATCTCAAGTTGCATCCCACTCGCTTATTTATGTCACGCAGACGCACAACTGTACATGTACATACAAAAATGTACACAATCATTCTGTATTAGGGTAGATAAAAAAGCACAGGCCTGGAGGCACGGTGCTATTTTCCACTTAATCAAGACATAAACTCGGCCATAATTTATCGCCTCTCCTAACACCAATCCTCATATCACACAGAGAAGTAAGCAGAAGGCCAAGAAGACTATATAAATTGATTAAATAACACAGCAGTGGCCCTGTATAGTCAAGCATATCCCTCAAAACCACTGAGTGGCCCTATCAATCGCCAACATGATGAGTTCAATGGGAAAGATATTAATTAGAAAATGAATCAGCACTTTTGCTGTTGACACATCCAAAACCAGGTCTTTCAAAATGGGCATTAATTTTCCCCAGTCAATAGTTTGCATCAAAGAAAGGTCTATTGTATTTTTAAAATAGACCATCATTATACTAAGATGGGTTTAGGCCAGTCAGAAGGTTACTCAGTCACAGATATAAGGAAAAAGGTAAAAAAAATAAAGAAAGGCAAACATATTTTCAGCTTCACAATCAATATGTTATAACCAGATAGTATTTTGCTTGATAAATGACTTATGCATTATGTTCTCCATCAACTATTAATTGACCAATTCTAATTAATTGTAATGGGTTTTGGAAATTCATTATGAATCCTACTTTGATTGACAGGTCCTTCAGCATTTAAAATATGCCATTTATTCCACGCAGGTGTGGGCCTGGTCCTTAAATGACTGATTAACATCCCATCATGCTTGGGGTTGTGTGTAAAAACCCTAGGCAGACCAGATGCTCATTATTTCTGACTCCCGTGGCTCAAATGAAAGGCCTGATTGTTGACACTTAAGTAGCAGGATCTTCTCTGATGTGCATTGTTTGATATAATGATGTTTCACAATTTGAAATATATGGCTTAGGTGAAAAAAGCATGATGTTGAAACGACATAACCACCTGGGAAGAATATATGCACATAGTGCTCAACTGTCATGTGTGTGCATCATTGCTGGATGCAAAAAGACTATGAATCAACTTTCTCACAACTGTCAGTCCGAGGTGAAAGCAAGCAGATTGTCATATGATCATCATCATATGATGAAACTGCATCGCATAAAAAGCTTAGTATACCTAAATTACCTCTTTTATACTGCAGGTAGTGCAACAACAAAAGCAGTGGTTCACTGAGAAGGAAAAAAGCCTCGGATGGGTAGATGAGTCACGGTGCACCCTGTTCTGAACCAGTGGTTGCCTACATGTGTGTTACGCATGAAAATAAATCTATTTGCCCAAGTGCTTATTTCCCACCGTGAAGGCTTCTGTCAGAGATGTTCTGGTGAGTGGCCGTGGCACGGTTTACATCCATTTGGTAGCAGGCAGATAAACGCCAAAACAACACCACCTTTCAGACTGATAGTATTTATTACGCTTTGCTGTCCTGATACATGAGGAATATTACAAGGTGACAAACCCAAATCCACAGGCCATGACGGGTCTCAGAGTTGTTGATGAGAATGGAAATTGTGTTCACCACCGTGCCAGTAATGGTCACCAGTTCTCAACCAAGCAGAGCACTACACTTATTCTACAAAGAATATTCCTGACCACCTTTAAAACTCAAATGGTGGAACGTATTGTAAAAAATGTCGCTTCAGGTTGTTTTTCTTAGAATCTAAAAGCTCAGTGTAGCAGCTCAGATGGCTCATTTTGACCCAATGCCCCATTGAGACACTTCTGTGTGTGTGGCCCTAATCTTAGCAGTTAGCAGCATATTGGTGAACTGAAACTGTGGTATTGAACTGACTGTAGTGCCAATTCAATCTCAATGGTAAAGAACAGAACATGAAGTATTTTTTCTTCTACATACCATATAGGGAGATCATCTCAATAACATGATTTGAGACATGTCATACTTCCAATGATCAGTTTTCAAGAGCCCACAGATGATTTTATGTATAACAGGCTCTAATCTTCCTACTATAAACCCTTTGCTGAAATGCCTATATGAAGTATGATTAAATTCCCCATTTAATCGTCAAACTCCTAAACCAATCAAGCAGGGTGAAGGTGAAACATAATGTGTAGGCTATATATCCATGCAAATATTGTGGTAACCAACCCTAAATGACAGCCCCGCTCCTAAACACTCTGACTGTGTCCTTCATTTTTACTGGCAGGTTGTAAAATCTCCAGATGTGCATATGAAAGCGTACACTTGAGGACAAACCAGCTCAGGTTGAAGTGGAATGCTTTTGGCTGCAGTAGCTCTAGCAATTTCAGATGTGATGTCTGCTCCAAATGCAGCTCCCTCTACTCATTTCAGCCAACACACAAGTATTTTCAGCATCAAGGCTTTTCAGCACCTCCCACTGATGGACAGCTCCTATTCACGTTTTCAACAAAAAAGGGCTGTATTGCCAAAGCAACAACTCCAATTAAAATGCACCCTGTACTTCTGGTAAACCTGCTCAGGCTGTGGTAGGAAGAAATGACATCCTCATGTCTAAATATCACCCATGGGTGGCTTTGCTTCGATTTTCCAGACATACTAGGTCAACAGGCAGAACCACAGAGAGAGGAAATGTGCACGACGTGTGTGCATGAGCAGATTCTGTAAAATAAAGCATGACCTGAAGCTTTTGCTCTGCCACATTTCCACTCAAAGCGCCCCTCGAGCCTGCCCACCTGGCCAATCCGGCGCTCTTTCTGCTGCAAACGTGTATGCTGAGAATACCTGAACTGAATTTGAATTACCATATGACGTAGGCCTTTTGCTAGCAGTAATGTCCTGCTGGCAACAGGGGCTACCACAGACCCACACAGTCTCAAGCAAGCGCTCAAACATACAATTTGTTGCACCAGCGACCCCCCCCCCCCCCCACCCCCCACACACACCTCCTCAACCCCCCTTTCTGTCCCTATCAATCTTTACCTCCATCTATATCTCTCACACACACCGTCAGAAACACACACATCACTCACAAACCAAAGGGGATGCGACAGCAATCACACACTACCTATAGGAATGAAATAAGCATAAATCAAAAGAAAAAGAAAAGTATATTTCTTCACATTGAAGTCCGTGACCACAAAACACAGGTTAAATGACGATGAATCGTTCTGCATGGTGACATACTACAGCTGCACGTCGCACTGAATGGGCTCAATTGGACTGAATCATGTATAGAAAATACTTACGCATTTTCTCGAATAAATGAAGCCGATTCTGAGGGGAAAACCAGCAGGGCCCCGGTCCCCGTTTTCAAGATGTGCGGTGCGAGCGAGGCACAAATCTCCATGTGAAAGGATCGGAGGCTGCTGCAGTCCGCGTCTCTCTCGATCACAAGTCAAGATGCTCGCCTGCAAAAAATGCCAAACATTCAGAAAGAGTTGCGTGGATCTGCGGTGCGGACACCATTCCCTCGGATGTAATGAGCGCCGATGAAAGCCCCCCAGAGGACCAGCAGCAACCCCCCTGGACTTGAAGATATTCCTCTGGACTGAGGAGGAGGAAACCCTGCGGAGTTTTTGATGGGGGATCAAGTCAGTATAGGCCCCTTCTCCCCCCCCCCCCCCCCCTCCGAACCAGTCACAGTCCAAAATTCACTCCGACCGGTGGTTTCTTCTACGAAAGAGCACTAAATCAAATCTCACCACAGAAATTAAAAGATACAACCAAAGTGGACTAATTTGGGGGATTTAGCAGTCAAACTGATATTGTACGTGGATCATTCACTCCAAAAAAAAATCCGTGGGCAGACAAGACGATTAATTACCTATTTAAAGCATTGTTAAGGTCAGCGCAGAAAGGGGTGCAGAAGCGTCCTACAAAACCCTCCTGAGAACGCCTATTGGATCAAATTAAGGATATCCGTCCCACTGCAACCATCACACGCGTCGCATCAGGACAAATGGGTTGCCATGGGGTGCTCTAAAAATCGCAGAGCATATGGCATACAGTATTTTCTATCAACGGGATGCAATTTCTCCTTAAAGCAATCCGATGTATTGATAACATAAGCGCAGCTATTAGTAATTATTCCGCCTGGCAGGGAGAGTGTGTCCGATCCGGGTGGTGTGGCAGCAGCATCATCCGTGTGTTGCAAATAAAGCGGCTTTTTTTTTTTTTTTTGCCACCGGCTCCTAATGGTTCCCCCGCTCTCTGCAGTCCATGACTTGAATAGCGAGCACGTTGAAATCACGGTCTCCAGGCACAGATCTGCCGCGCGCGCGAGTCACGTGTGCGTGTGTGTAGCTTAAAGTGTAGGACGGTGGTGCGCGCGTGTGTAGGCGTGAGCGTGTTCGTGTAGTACCCAGGGACCACTTTAACTTTGACCACTTTGCCTGCTCGTCCATCGGCCCATTGAAATCACCCTGAGGTCGTTAATCAACAGGGATCAATCGCATTAACGCATAAAGTCCAGTCTGCTGTCTCTTGAGTGTGTGTGTGTGTGCGTGCGTGCGTGTGAGTGTGTGCGCGCGTGCATGGATCATTCAATTGTTGATGAGGTATGGTTGCCATCTACAGGCGTGAGTCTCTATCCAGTCATCCAAAACGGACCATTTCCACAGTCTGCATGCACACATAAATTCACATTCAACATGTAGAAGCAGTGCTCCTCCCACATTCAAAGCACCAATACAATGTGCATTAATACACAAATCAGCTACAAAAAAAAAAGTCATGATTAACCAGAACATTACATTATTTTACCATCTGCTGTTTTTAATTAGGATGATTACCTGCAACTATTGTATTCCTTTACAGATGCAGACAAAAGTAACCTAGGCAACTCCTGTGTGGCTGAAAACTGCCTTCTGATTCTCTGTGGTCACATTAAGGGAAATCTTCATTCCCTGCATGGACCAGTGTGAGAGACATCATGGCACTCATAGGTAAGAGGCTTTAGTGACTTCCACACCACAGACAGATAAGTGAGTACGCATTAATTTCAGCTGAGATGAACATCGTGTCTCATTAGCCAACATAATGGACCACAAGTCGCCTTCGTGACAAAGTGGCTGCTGGTCACTGAGGCTTTATGAGATCGACAAAGACAGAGAGGGAGAAAAAAAAGATAGATCCTGTGTGTGAGGGGTCACTGAATGCTTCCATTAGTATGGAGATCACCTGAATCATATCTGGACTTAGCAATCACTAGATTTAACCTGGTTGGTCACCTAAAGATTTGGAGTGATGCACAGAAGTGCTTCCCTCAGTGGTGGGATGTAAAGGTACAATTAAGTGCAAATTTAAAGCACTTGTACTAACCTTTACACTTATATGCAATATTATACTTCTGCCTTACATCATCGCACAAGCAATTATGGTCTCTCCACTGCAAGAAAACTAAAATTCAGAAAAGTTGTATATAAAGAAAAATAATAATATTTAAAGAACAAGAAAGATCCAATGTGCTCTGAAGTACAGACATGTGCAATTAAGGTGCTTTTGGAAGGGAACACAAACAGTTCAATAGATTACAAAAGGTCCAAGGCAGTCTTTTGTCAACAGTGAAAAGCCTTTAATCAAATTGGTATTTCAAGACAAGGACAATCCCTGCGCATGATAAAATGGAGCTGAAAATGATACAAACTTTGGTTGTTTTTCGGATTTTCTCTAAAGCCATCTGATTAAAGGCTTTTATGTAAACGTTTGCGTGAAGAGGTTTTTTTATTGAATATTTAATAACCCTCTTGAATCAGCTGGAAAATGCACAGTCGCTGCAAACAGGGCTGTGTTTCTGAGCTCATTAAAAAGTGGATTTTTTTGGAGATATACAGTACATGGTTTTTACAGGACAGCAATGATGCATTGCTGTAAACAACCAAACAGTATAGAAATAATAGCAACCTTAAAAATCCAACAACAAACACATTAATGTAGCAATAATGTGTTTGAAAAACCTCAAAAAAGGAGTGAAATACTGATGGGAAGCATTGTACTGCAAAATGAAACTTTATAAAGTACATTTTACCTTACTTTGTTCTTTTTACGGTTTCGTTTTAAAATAGTATTAAGGTCTTCATTTTGGGAACAAATATATAATCTTGATTCCAGTGATCCAATCTATTTGGATTAAACTAAATGCATTTCCTACAAAAATCATTTGATTACTTTTCCATATCTGAAAGTCAAAACTGCTCCCCCCGGCCTAAAGCAAAAGTAAAAGGGCTGCTTGTCAAAACAAAAGCTAACTCCACATCAAACATAATCCTGGTCTCAGAAGCTCAATCATCTGAACGTTTTTTACTTCCTTGGATGAAGTCCAGGTACACACAACTGGACTTTTCTGTGTTTCAAATAAGCTATATTGAGGCATAATTAGACTTTTGTCGTACGCTGCACTTATATTAATGTGGTAACGGTTACATAACTGAAGAAGAGTTTCACAGCCTCCCTTACAAACACTAGAGATACATTTGATATATTTTCTGTTATCAGCATTTTATTCATGCTTTGATGAAATATGAATTTTAATTCCTCAAGATCTCCTGAGCAGAAAAATTAAAAATAAAAGTGCAGATAACAAGGGGGAGGGAGGCACACCCTGTGTTTCTGTAAATGAAAGCCTCAGCAGATCTGCACAATCAAATCAATGTCAAACACATGCTGCTTCACCGTGTACTCCCTCATTACATTGTTTTTCCAGCGAGGACAATATAAACTTCCTGTATTTCTTATTTAGCCCTATTTGAATACATACAACAGCAGTACTCTGTGTCAATGTCAAAGATTTGCCAGCCCACAAATGATTTCTGGGCGGTAAATTATCACATGGAGTTTGAAGCTTGACAGCTTGACAGCTTCTATTTATTCTATTTTCTATGCAAAAGCCAAATGTTGAAATGGTTTTGGCCAGGCTTGTATTCATATACATTTTCCTCAAATATTTCATCAAATATGCTTGCTTGGAAGTTGTTTGATTTACCAAATCTTGATGCATATTGATAACATTTATATAAAATTAATTTCAGTTCCCGAAGTTATTGAAAGAATGACTGTAGGGATGCGCTATATACACACTTTTGGGCAAATAATGGTGATTCATATTTGTATGCATCATTCCAAAAAGGAAATTATAGCTGATGATACAATTCGCTATCATTGAATTTACCAATCGCAGTATCTAACTATACAGAATAAACAGGAATAACAAGCGCAGCACGCTGTCTAAGACCGTACTTGTCTTTGCTTTACTTGAAATAATAATTCAATATTTGAGGACTACAAACTGTTGTTGTTGATGCGTCAAAAAAAGTGATTTCAGTTCAGTTTAATAGGAACAATATGTGTGATCCGTTTTTATTATTACATGTTAGCCTTTCTTAATCTCAGCTGTGTGTAAGCCTCAGGTTATATTATACAAATTTAAAAAAAATGTGAATAATTGTTTATCTTTTTGGTATCGACCATAAACCTTAATGCTACCAGCTTGAAAAAAAATCCATATTGTGCAAACAGATAGACAGAAACGTACTCTCACCCTCTATTAAGCCAGACACATGAGCGTAGAGCCGCTTAAATACCTGATCAAAGTTCTCTAAAATACATCAAGCTCTGTCTATCTACTCGCTTTGGTATTCTAAATGCAAATTCATCTAGAGGGATGTTTTTATAAACTTGCAAGCATTCTCAACAAAGAGCCCTAACATGATTAGCAAAACGCTCAGTGTGTCTCACGTTTTATCGTTTTCACTGAACTAGTTTCACATAACTGCTTGAGATGTGATAACAATGAGAAGAATGCTGGGAATGTAAAACTGCTTCACGCTTCATCCGGCCTTTAGGGAAGTAGATGGTTTCTCCTTGCTGACTTATTCAGACATGCTGACTTTAAAGTCTGTCAAACAAATTGAAAGACACACATGGGAAAAGCTATGCTAAAGTGTTTAACAAATGATGGGCAGAGATGGCTTCAGTTGATTCTTGTCATCCCTCATTTTGGTCCATAGCCACTTTCCTGTCAAAATAGATTTGGCCTCTTCGTTTTTCTCTCTCTGTGAGACGTCTTCTTTTGGTCTACCATCTCTTCTATCTCCTTCCATCAGTCTTTTGGGATAGTTGGATCTGTGCTGTTGTAGCACATGTCCCAGACTGCTTTCTGGGACAAACTTCAAGAAGTTGGCTGGAAAGAAATATGGGGAAAAAAAATATGGAAGGAAAGAAATATGGTGGATAGAGAGAGAAGAGAGATGATCCTCTAGCACTACGGAGACTCTTCAATTATTCAAATGGCCGCTGTCCCTCTGCACTTGTTATCGCTGCTTGGTTTGAATATTAAAATGGCCGCCCCCAAAGAGACAGATATCCAGAAGATGAAGCCCACGCAGAGAGCAAAGGCTGAGTGCGCTTGACTCCTCGCTTCCCCGCCCAGCAGTCGATGAACGGGAGACTTTCTATGCAACTGACAGCATGACTTTGAAGAGGGAAGTATTCCTGTCACGTTCGGCCTAAATTCCATTAA